TGTAACACGTTAATTATTGAGTAAGGATATACAATAATTCTCTCATCACTTACTATAAAGTGCACTTCACTTCCCCAAACCAATCATTGGCCAGTCAGTCCTCTTCCAATTCAAGTACCACTTTTCCTTTGACCAATTCCTTATCATATCATCGTTTGTCTCATGATTATGCTGCTTTTCAACTTTTATTTGCTCTCAAACTGATCCTCAAACATAAAATCAAGTTGTTAAGTATCTGGGTTGGTGTGAGGCTATAAAAGCAGAATTGGATGCTCTTGAGCTCAACAAGACTTGGGAATTGATTGATCTGCTACCTGGTAAGGAACCAATAGATTGCAAGCATGTCTACAAGACTAAATTTAATTCGAATGGGACAGTTGAAAGGTTCAAGGCTAGATTAGTGGCTAAGGGTTATACACAATAGGAAGGGATTGACTATGATGAGACTTTTTCCTCTGTAGCCAAGATGGTCACAATTTGTTGTCTCCTTGCACTTTCTGCCATACATGGCTGGCATTTGCAACAATTTGATGTTAATAATACTTTCTTTCATGAAGAGCTAAAAGAGGAAATTTATATGCGTAAACCCTCGGTTGTGACAAAGGAAAACTTGGACAAATATGCAAACTACTCAAAAGTTTATATGCCTTAAACAGGCATCTCGTCAATGGCACTCCAAATTTAAGACTCACTTATACACTTTGGATTTCAACAATCCAAATCAAATCATAGCTTATTTACAATGATTAATTGAGATTCCTTTACTGCTTTATTGGTTTATGTGGATGATATTGTGGTTGCTAGTAACTCCCTTGATTGTATTAATGCTATCAAATTGTTCTTGAATACCGACTTTAGGATTGAGGATCTTGGTATCCTTCGTTAAGTGGCAAGATCTGTATAAGGGATTCATTTATGTCAAAGAAAGTATGCACCCGACATACTAGCAAATTCGGGTACTCTTGGTTCCAAACCAACTAAACTTCCCATGGACCAAAATATCAAGCTCAACAAAGAATTGGGGTGTCCTCTTTCTGATCCAAGTATTTATAAAAGACTTGTTGGCATGTTATTGTGTTTAACTATTACAAGACCAAACATGAGCTACTCGGTGCAAGTACTCAGTCAGTTGATGTCTCAGCCAACTGATCTTCATCTACAAGCTGCTCACAAGGTTTTGAAGTATTTAAAGGGTAGTCTTGACCAGGGTATTTTGCAGCAACTGCTTCTAAGTTTACTTGGATTAAACAATTGCTGAAAGACCTGCACATTCCTCATCCATCTGCTGTAATTCTTTACCGTGACAATCAGACAGCTCTGCATATTGATGTCAATCCATTGTTCCACGAACATACTAAACATATAGAGGTTGATTGTCCCCTCATCAGAGACAAAATTCAAGAAGGCAGTCTCATCACAGCTCATACCGACTCATTCACAACTGGCTGATATTTTCAATGGGGCCTCTCTTCTTCTGTCCTTACCGCTCTCATCTCCAAGATGGGAATAGTAAATATCTATTCTCCATCTTGCTTGGGGTATTGGATTTCACACATGAAGGTTATGATCATAATCATAAGCTGAAGTCTGAAGTTTAACTGGCGATGAAGTCTTTTACAGAAAGACCTTGGCTCAGCTTACAGAATGGAGACTATTCTTGGAATTTCCTTTTTCTCCTATTATCGAGCTGTTTTGAATTGTATAGCNAGCATATATAGGCTGATTCTTGTGTATTTTTTCATTCATTCGACTCTTCTCATTTCAATGGAGAATTCTCAAGTTCATACACTGTTTTCCTTCTCCAATTTTCATATCTGAATTCTTATATCATGAGAAGCACACCAGTAAGTTTTTTCAGTATCATCTTCAACAAATTAATGCAGACGATGAACTGCACTTTTGCAATCCAAGCTCATTAATACTAGTAAGATTTGCTCAGCAAATTCAGTGTCCCACCATCCGATAACTGATTCCAATGAATTAATTATAAAATACGAAAAATTCAACAAAAACCAAACATCTTTATCGAAATTTGAACAGAAAAGAACAACTACAAAAGAGGATTTTACTTTACCTTGCAGGAACCAGACGGGTCAATTGTCGATGTATTGGAAACCGTTTTCTGCATCAAATAAAGGTTCGTGCTTTTTCTTTAATTAATTAATCTTTACGAGTTCTAGATAAATAAATTATTTAGATTGTATTTTTTGAGGTAAAAATAATAATAATTTAATCAGCCGACATTTGGATAATATGTTCAACTTGTAACATTATTTATTTCTCTCTTTTCTTTGTCCCAAATCAGAATATTAATTTTAGAATTAATGGAGATTCCAACCAAACAAAAACACTTTATGCACACGCAAACGTTATTTTGTATACACATGCGTCACTTTTCTAAATTGCCCCTCGAGGATTTCAAAGGTCAAAGTTGTAATTTCCTTACCCACGTGAAGTGTTGTACTTGAGGATTAAAAAGTTTTGAATCCTATAAAATATATTGTTAAGCCCTGTTTGGTTCACATTATTTTTTCATTCTCATTTTTCTACTCATTTTCAACAACACATTCTTCAATAAAATAATATTTTCTATCATATTAATAAATTTTCATTCTTTTTCAACCACATATTTCTCATCATATCAACAGTAAAAATGCATTCTTACCTTCAAAATGTGCACCAAACGGGAGCTAAATTTAATTATTGATTTAAATTAAAATTAAATTTTAATTTTAATTTATATCAAACAGAAACTTAATTTAATAATCGAAATCAAATTCATCTATTGTCACTTGTCATACATCATTTATGATTAAAGCAACTATATAATTTTCAACTTCTTACGTAAGTAAAATATTATGTAAATATAATGACTTACGGTAACATCAGTTCTATTTTCCCTCGAATCGATTTTATTGAAAAAGGCGAAATGAGACTATCCCTCTTCGAATCTGAGTTGATAATTAGTAATTACATTTCTAACTACATATTGATTAGAAAGAATGAACAAGGAAGCGATCGAATTGAATTGAAGCCTACTTTGTTAAATGATAAATATATTCAAATCATATTTTTTGTTAATCACTCTTCATTTTAATTGCAATGTGGGTCCTTCATTTTCATTTTCTTATACTTATATCTCCAACTTTTTTAGTGCACTTATTTTTAACCTTTAATTAACTAGTACATTTTTGTCTTTGATGGCAAATTTGTTCAAATATTCTATTATCATGAG